ATTTGTGAATACTATTTTCTTATTCCACGTTTACACTTTATTATTAAATTATTATCAAGTACTATAAATTTGAAAATATTACACTTTAATACACGTATCTTGAATGTTACTATGTGACAAAATAATACGTAATTACTTCTATGGATATAATTGTTTAAAGAATTTTTAATTGTTTAACTTTTAATGTACAACATATGAGAGTTATAATAAACATACAATTTTTATTATGATATTAATGGTAACTAATATTGTCTTTAATATTTATATTTCTAAAAAATTGTTTATGAAATTATAGAACTAATTTCATGATCGTTTATGCTTTTATAAAGTTACGTGCAGATCGTCACATTCTATACGATTTCTTTCTGCGAAAGTGATTAACCTTTCCTCGTGTGTTCTGTGTATTACCATAAACGAAGTGCAAGATAGACCTGACACTTAACGCATTTTTTCTCCACGTCATAAGAGTGACGATGCCATTTTCATGTCTCTTCCAACGTTACCGATTGAGCATAGAATAAGATTGCAACATTAGTAGTGGTTGGAATTAGAACTAAACGTAACTATGAAATTATATAAATAATATATAAAACTATATTTTTAATAAATAGCTTCATTATAAGTGTCATTGTAAAAATAGTTACAGGTTGCATTGAAAGAAATTATTAAGGACAGCGTTTTGTTTTTCTTTTTTTCTTTCTTTTTCCTTTTTTCTTTTGTTTTTCTTTTTGTTTTGGTTCAGTCAATGAGTCACTAAACAGCTCATTGTCAAAGTATATACTTTTAAATATCCTCACTGATTCCTCCAAGAACAGGTGGACCCCTTTTTCATTTTCTATCGAATGACGTATGAAGTTTTACGTCACAAAATACATTCTTCAAAACAGGCAACATTTATTTCTTTCAAACATGCTTATTTTTCACGTATAGTCTAAGGGATGCAATATCTACATTTTCCACTGATGGTCTCGGCTAAAAGTAATTTTACCCTTCCTTCCTTTTTTTTCTCTTTTTCTCTTTACCTTCTTTTTTTTTTTTTCTTCCTTTTTTCAATTTAAGCCCAAGCTAGTAGAATATTATTTAAAGAATGATTCTTTCACAAAAGGAAATGGGTGTGGTGAGTAAGGGAGAAATAAATAGATAGTTAAATGCTGTAAAAGAATACCGGTATATTTTTAATTTTTGTAAAAACAAAAATACATTAGATTTATCCTGTATATCGCGTGTGATTCTAAATTATTGAAATTTTTTAATTATTACTTTATTTTTACTTTCTTGCAATATCAATATTATAGAATTTGAGTGATTAATGTAGAATATTTTGGTTGATCTGTGTGATTCATTTTTGTGTAATTCTTATTGGAAGATGGTGATGTACCATCAATAGCCGTATTTACCACAAAGGATAACTCGTCGAGATATTTAGCCATGCCGAAATGAGTAAGACAAGGAAAGAAATAGGGGCAAACAAGGACAGCATTAGAGTAATGAATACAGTTAGACAAGAATAAAAAATTTGAAAAGTGAAACTGACGCCATCTCATGTTTGGTGACTCGAACTGCAATTTTTTAACAGAAACATAGGATATAAACAGAGGTATCAGACAAGGAAAGCACCAGTGTGCGAGAAGGATAGAGAGAAAACGATTCCTATTGGTCCGCGGAACTCAAGCTCTACCTCCCACGCGCTTAATCAAGTAAATCAGAGAAAAATCATTAATAATTCATTATTTACGATGAATTTGTGTACCTTTAGGATTGAAGAATAAAGTGTGGACCTTCAGCAACTTTCACATATAGTTTTTAGTGCGCTAAACTCTCTCAATAATTAGTTATTAACAATTTTAGTACGCGATGTCGGAAACGATACTGCATGCCGTCAAGTACCTTTGCGGTTCTTCAATAATTTCATAGCTTTCTACTAAATTCTCATTCAATTAACTATACGCATCTGAAAGGCAACTCCTTTAGCTACATTCACATATAATTTTTATTAACATATTCAGTTTAGTTTAGGAGTTATTAAACATTATTTGGGAGCGTCCCTATTCATCGTACTCGAGTCTAGTCGAATCGTATAAACAATTGCTAATATCTAATAAACCACACCACTTACGGTTACCAAACTAATTGCAAAATATAGATAAAAGTCCATTCTACATTCTCCATGCTTAAAAGTGCATAATTAATGACGCATTTCTATTGAAATAACGAAAATGTGTTACGATTGAATGCGACGGGTGTAATACTATCCCAAAGAATGTTTAATAATTCTTAATATAGACGGAATATGTTAATAGAAATGATATGAGAATATAGCTAAAGGAGTTACCTTTCAAACACATATAGTTAGTTTCATAGGAATTTAGGAGAAACTATGAAATTATTGAAAAACCGTAAAGATATACGGTATTGTTCCCGACATCACGTACTAAAATTTTTACTAACTTATTATTGAAGGAGCCTACTGCATTAAAATCCATATGAGAATATAGCTAAAGGAGTTACCTTTCAAACCCATGTAGTTAGTTTCATAGGAATTTAGTAGAAAGCTATGAAATTATTCAAAAACCGTAAAGGTATTACACTTGTATTACACCCGTCGCATTCAAACGAAACACAATTTCGTTAATTTAATAGAAATGAGTAATTAATTATACACTTTTTAGCATGAAGAATGTATAATGGACTTTTATCTATATTCTGCAATTAGTTTGGTAACCGTAAGTGGTGTGGTTTATGAAATATTAGCAATTGTTTATACGATTCGACTAGACTCGAGTACGATGAATAGGAACGATCCCAAATAATGTTTAATAACTCCTAAACTAAATGGAATACGTTAATAAAAGTTATATAAAAGTGTAGCTAAAGGAGTTACCTTTCAGATGCATATAGTTAGTTGCATGAGAATTCATTAAAAAGCTATGAAATTATTGAAAAACCGTGAACGTATATAAACGTAAACGGTATCATTCCCGACATCCTGTACTAATATTATTAATAACAAATTATTGAAAGGGTCTATTACATTAAAAACTACATGAGAAAGTTGATAAAGCTCTACACTTCATTCTTCAATTCTAAAAGTTCACAAAATCATCGTAATTATTGAGTTATTAATGATTTTTTACCTGACCACGTGGCGGAGGCTCTGGGAGGCGGAGCATGGCGGCTCGCCAGCCAATAGGAAGCGGTTTCTCTCTG